CTTATATTTATCTATTTAATTTATTAATTAACCTATTATTTTTACCCTTTAAAAAGTAAAAAGTATATTAGAAAAGCTCTTTAATAACTTTTAACCTTTAAATAAAAAACGTAGATAAGATAAACTATTAATTATTAATAGCCTTTTAAAATAAAAAGCTTTTATAATGCAATATTTAACTATTGTTAAAAAAGTAGGAATATAATATATAAGGTTTTTATTAATTAAAAAAAGATATAATAAAATGGTATAAATATTAACCCCTTATTAATATTTTTATTATTAATGCTATACCTTTCTTTTATAATATAATATAGGATAAAGTAAAGGTATAAATAACTTATTTAAACGAAATTAATTTAATAATTTATATAAAAAGAAATAAAAATAAATTATTTAAATTATTCCTTAATAGGAAGAACGAAAAGCTATAATAAAAGGTATAGGATATAATGCTTAAGGAATATAAAGATTTATTATATATATTTAATAAAATAAACTTTAATATTTTAATTTTAAACTATTTAATTAATTATTATATTAAATGCCTATTAGGAAAGGGAATTAAAGATTTAAATAATAGCTCCTTATATTAAATATTATTTAAGGAATTAAAGGTAATAAGGGAATATATCTTTAATAATTTATATAAGGGTTTTATTATATTAAATAATATATTATATATTGTTCCTATTTTAATAGTTTATAAAAGATATAGTAATTTCTAATTATATATTAATTATAAATATATTAATGCTTTAATAAAAAAGGATAAATACCCTTTACTATTAATTAATAAAACTTTAATAAAAATTATAAAAGTAAAAATCTTTATTAAAATTAATATATAATAGGTATTTTACTATATTTGTATATATTTAAATTATAAAGATTTAATTACGTTTAAAACTTATATAGGTATATTTAAATATAAAGTATTACTATTTAATTTAATTAATAGCCCAGCTACCTTTTAACGGTATATAAATAGAATTATAAATAAATATTTGGATAATTTTTATAATATATATCTTAATAATATTTTAATTTATTTTAATAACTTAATTAAATATTAAAAGTATATTAAGAAAGTTTTAAAACGATTCTAATAAATAGATTTATAAATTAACTTAAAAAAATATAAATTTTATATTATTAAAATACAGTACTTAAGATTTATTATAAAATATAATAGGATTAAAGTTAACTTTAAAAAGATTATTATAATATATAATTAAAATAAATTAATTAATATAAAGGTGGTATAATTATTTTTAAAGTTTTATAACTTCTTTTAACAATTTATTAAAGAATATAGTTAAATTGTTAAGCTATTATATAACTTTATTAAAAAAGATACTATTTTTTATTAAAACAATGCTTATTAAAAGGTATTTAATTAGTTTAAAATTTAATTAACCAAAATATTAATATTTATTTACTTTAATTTTAATAAAGAAATTAAAATAAAAATAGATATATTAAACGGAATTTATATTAAATACTTCTTTTAACGGGGGGAAAATAGTAAATAATATTTTATTGCTTTTTATTTTAAAACAATATATAATGTAAAAATAAACTATAGCATCCTTAATAAAGAATTATTAATAATAATTAAAGGATTATAATTTTAAAAATTAAAATTAGTTAATATTTAATAAAGGGACCCTTTTTTTATTATTATTAATTATTAAGCTTTAAAATACTTTAATATTAAATAATAATTAAACCTCCGTTAAGCTAAATAGGTTAATTTATTTATTTAATATAACTTTTTAATTATTTATTAATTAAATAAAAAAAATGTAATAGCTAATGCTTTATTATAAAAATAGGAAGACCTTTATATATAAAAGGCTAAAAAAAAGGAATATTAATATATAATAATATTCTGCCTAATAATGAAAAACTTTAATATTAACCCCTTTATTAATAAATTATTTAGTTTTAATAATATTATAAAAGCTATTAATATTATAAAAGTTAATATATTTTCCCCCTTTATATTATTAATAAATAAAGTTTTCTAATATAATAAAAATTAATATATAAATAAAAGATTAATTATTTATAAGGGTAAATTAATAATGCTTAATATAAACTTTATATATATATATATTATTTAAAAAGTGTATAATTGGATTATTATAGTTTACCTTAATTAAAATAAAATAAAATAGTTAATAGCTGTTTAATATTAATAGTTTAAATTGGAAAAAGATTATAAAACTTATATTATAAATTATATAACTTATTAACCTATAAAGGTCCCTTATAATAAAACTTTAGATTTCTTATAACCTATACTTATATTATTAAAACTATTCCGCTATATTATAATAAACTTTAAAAAGATAATAATAAATAGTAAAAAAGGAAAAAACGTTTTTATAATAATAAATAAGTTAAATAAATCATTATAATTAATACCTTATATTAAAGAAATAACCGTTTAAAAGGTAGCTTATTTATATTATAAAGGTCCTTTTTATATATATAGATTATTTAAATAAATAAACTTTAATAAAGGTTTATAGTTCATTTCTTTATTTATAAATAAAATAGTTAAGATATTAAATATTAAATAGAAATTATTTTTAATAAGATATTATAAATTAGTAAAATAAGCTAAAATTATTATTAAATATTTAAATTAAAGGTTATAACTATATTATAACTATTATTAAAATAATTAAGGCAATACTTTACCTATTATAAATTTTACTATTACTTTATTACTATATAAATTAACTAGGTTATAGCTTTATAAAGTTCTATTTAAGTTTTTAATATTAATATATTATAATTAAATAAGTTATATTATAAATATAATTAAACTTCTTATAAAAGAGCAATTAAATTATAAAAAAGCTTAATAATAATTTAAAACTATTAAAAAATATATTAATATAATTTAAATAATTTTTAAATAAATGTAAAATAAAATAATTAAATGGAAAAATTACTATTATAAAGAATTAGATTTTAATATAAGTAATTAAATATTTATTTTAAAAAAAAGGTAATTATAAATAATTAATTATCCTTTTAATAAGTTTAATTATTTTATAATATAATAATATTTTAAAATTATTAAATAAACTAGATTTATTATTTACTATTTTAAAGTTTTTAATAATTAATAATTAATAAACCTTTATTATATTAATTAATTATAAAAATACCTTAATATACCCTTATTAAAATAAGTAGTTAAATAATTTAATAGTAAAATTATTAATCTTAATATTAACGAAGAAAAATAGGAAGTTAAAAAAATTAAAATATTTTAATTATATTATAAAAAGACCCTTTAATATTAGGTTAATTAAAAGGGTTAAAACTTTAATAATTAATAATACCTTATTAATAATTTTAAAAAATTTTTAAAGTTATTATTTAACTTTTATAAAAAGAACTTAAAATTTATAAAATTATTAAAAAGATTAAAAGATTAGTTAAAGGTTATAAAGAAGGATAAGTTTAATAAAGTATACTTTAATAATAATATATTAAAGGATATATAAAATATATTATTATATAAATTAAAAAAAAGGAGCGTAATAAGCATTATTATAAATAAATTTAATAAATATAACCTATAATATATTATAAAAATACTTAAAGCATTCCTATAAATTAAAAACTTATAATATAATAATAAAAGGGTAAAAACTTAAAACTATCCTTTCTTTAATTAAATAGTAATAATGTAAAAGCTATAAGTTTAATTTTTAAGGTAAGAATTTTTTAAAAGGGGGGGTAATTATAATAACTAGCTTAATAACCTACTTAAAGCTTAAGGCTTAAATGGCTACACTATTACACGTATTATAATCACTATATAATTATTGTTTCACTATATATATTAAAATATTTTACCATACTTTTTATATTTAAAATATTTCTTCCGTTCTTCATTTTATAATAAATATATAAATAGTACCCTAATATAAGCTTTACCTTATATATAATATTCCAATTATAACATTTAATTCTTTTTAATTAACTTTTAATTTTATAATATTATTAATTAATTAATTATATTTTTTATATAATTATATAAAAGTAAAAATAATTTTATTATAAAATTAAAAATATAATTAAATTAATTAAATAATTAAATTAAATAAAAATATATTAATTTATTATTATAATATATTTCTTATTTAACTTAACTATTTAATTAAATTAATTATTCCTTTAATTTATATAAAATTTTATTATTTTAATTTATAATAACTTTATAAATATTAATTATATAATTTAATAATTAATACTTTTAAATTTATTAATTAAAGTAAAATTTAAAGGTATTTTTTATTATTTTTTATAAAATTTATTAAATAAAATATTAAATAATATATTAAAGGAATATTAAATAAGGATTAATTTAATATTTATTTTAATATATTATTTAATAATTCTATAAGTATAAATTATAAAAGTTAATAAAAGGTATTATTAAATAGTTCTTTTTATTATAAATTTAATAATATATTTTATTATTTAATATAATTAATATTTATAAAGTTATTAAATTATTATATAATTAATATATTAATATTTTTTATATAGGTTAATAGGGTAGTTAAATTAATTAAATAGTTAAATTAAATAAAAAATATATTATATTAATCATTTTTAAATTATTATATTATAATTAATTAAATAATTAAATTAATTAAATAATTAAATTAATTAAATAATTAAGTTAATTAAGTAGTTAAATTAATTAAATAGCTAGGTTAATTAGGTAACTAGGTTAATTGGATAGCTACTTAGGTTAATTGGGTAGCCAGGTCAAGTAGGTAGCCAGGTTAAGTGGGAGACACGTTACCTAGATGTACCCCAAAGAAAATTCTACCTGCAAAAGCTTTGGCCACTATCAGGTCAACAAGGGGGGGTAACCCTCAGTTTATCGCATCACTCGTTGCAAAAGACGAAGCGTGAAGCGAGTGGAAACAATGCGAATAGCCAAGCATATCACATTCAAAATGATAGAAGTAGTCAACTTCTATTTCGAGTGGCCGGCCGAATTCTTCGACCCTGGTCTCTTGGTTCAGCTCGAAACTATACCGATCGACCTTAACCTCAGGGTTGCTAGCTACTGTGCGCCGGGTTATGGAATCCCTCTCAAAGATAGCCAGACCTGGGTGACCTATTTTGTTCGTATCATAGACACCCTCGTAAACCGAAATGATGTCGACGATTGGGAGTGGCTGAAGACTTGGCTACGTCGGACGATCATAAGTCTGCCCGGCAATTGGATCCAAGACCGGTATGTCCATTAAAGCACTTATTGACAAGGTTCCCTAACTTGTATCTAGTATATGGAAACATGAGTTGGCAGATCAGCTTGAGCAGTTGATCATCCCGAACTTACAAGGGGCCAACAGGATTCAGGGTGTGGCGGGCTACAAGGATGGTGCGTGTCCTGAAGTGCAATCTTTGGTTTGCTCTATAAAGACATTTCGGGAAGTAGATCTCCTCGAATATTCTCTAGTTTAATGACATGCTATTTCATGTGAGTAGCTTGATCATTACTATCCGGCAATATGTATGCTCCTACGTTTCGGTCAAGTATACATCCGCTCCTAGGCTCTGGTGGCGCCACTGCTATCGACTGCGCCGACCGTCCGGCGTAACGAGGTGAAAACCTGATTCCTCAAGCAGGGTCAGATATAGTACCCCTACCGCTCTTTCCAATCGAATTATGATCCTAAGAAATTCAGCAAAGTGACATTTCATTATACATACTACTATTATTTGCCTAACGACTGCCATGAAATTGATGCTATAGCATATAGAAGGGTCTCACAATGTAACACAACCAGCATCAACCGTGTGTAACAGGGAGCAAACGAATATAGAACGGATGCGACCTATCAAAGGTAGGTTAGCCACTATACAGGCTTCTCTTCTGTCATTTTCGAGAATAAGTATGCGCCAAAGCGCGCGCGTCACAACAGTCTGCCGCACGGCGAAGTCTCCAGCCGTTTAGATGCCGCCTTATAGAAGTAGTCGATTAGCTGTCGGCTCCTATAACTTGTTGATTACTTGTATGACTCACCACTGCCAAGACTCAGTTTATTTTAGAAGGCGGTGCCAGTTTCCGGCTTATATGAAGTATAAATAGAGTAGTTTCATCACGCTGAGTATATTAGTATTACATGATACAACAGTCACAGCAATTCTGATTTCACGACCTACAAGCATCAACTGTAGAACCAATATCTACATTAAACCGGCCCCCGGCAACATCCAACACATCATGACCCGGGTTATTAACGGCGAGCGAGAAATCACCGATCAATGGCGTTGCAAGATATGCGAGTACAACAACTCCACTGGTGCTGAAACATGCGAAGGAACAAAGGATGGCAAGACGTGTGGGGAGCCCAAGAATGTTGCATAATTAGCGGTGAGCCCGATTTAATCCCGTCTTTGTTGTGAGTTTGGAACTTAGGGTTTTGAGCCTTGAAGCAGGTCTCCCTATGGATGCCATTTATCTTTCATCACCCACAAGGATGATTACCCAACCACTCGAGGCAATATGTGTAGGAAGGGACAAGTGGAACCATGCTGCCTCTGGAATATAGTTAAGGGAGAAGACGAAGTCGTTCATTTGTAAGACTAGATGGGCAATCGCCACCGGGGGCCCGACCATGATACGAGACAGGGACGGGTGCCAGATGTTGGCTTCTTACTTTTCACTTCCAGACCACGGTCGATGGTCGCAGGGGATAGAGGCTAGCACATCACGCCTGCTCCCTATGATAGAAAACATACCTTTGATAAGCTGTACTGGTAGGCAAACTCAATACAATCTCTTCTAATGACAATCTCCCGAGTCTTCTTAGTAGGAGCAACAAAGAACAGGTGAAGCATTTTACCTATTGTTTATCTCGTTCCCCTTGTTGCTAGACGTTCCCGAAACCACCGTTTCCATGTTCCCATAACTTCTGGGAAGCCTTCCTCCCCAAGTTGGTGCGCAACACGGTTCCTCCATTCTGCAAGTACCGGATCATCAGAGTCTACGTCAGGCCATTCAAAGTCAAGCCCCCATGAGACACCAAACTTGGTCCTCACCCATTCTACGGGAACATAGCCAACTATTTCCCAATCGATGATCCCAATCGCACCTTTGTGACCGGGTTGGACCATTATGTTGCTTGGGGCAAGGTCGCTGTGATAAAGCATAAATGTTGAACATCCCATTCCCAACTCGCTGCAATTCCGCTGTAGTGCTTCTGGCCTGAAATCGTACTGATCGCGACACGGGTCGAGCCATCTCTCGGGGAAATGAGCCCCATCGACGCCCGTGATAGCCTGGGACGTCCAAACTGAAAGCTCTTTGCATACGTCGATGATACGATCGACATAACTCTGTTTTTCTTCATCGCCTAACTCGCGCCAAGATGATTCGAGGGTCTGGCCGGGCACGCGGGAAAGGAAGAGATAGCTTCTGCCCGACCATTCAGCTTGGTATAGAACTTTGGGAATGGCAAAGCTAAGATTTTGCCGGGCCAACCACCGTAGCGTGTCATGCTCCTTCGTAGCATTCTCGGCATGGGACGTGATAATCTTGACCTTGAGAAATACATCCCCAAGGCTCCAAATAGCCGAGGTCTTCCCAGCGTTTCTTTCCAGGTGCATATGACTGTCTGGGGGGAGGTCGTAGGTCTGGGGTGGTTGAGAAGTCGGGCTGGAAAGGCTGTAGTACGAGCTATGGCGTGCGTCGTCCCATAGGCGCTCATGGCCACTTTCGGGAGGAAACGGCTTCTTGTGCAGGATCAGCCGATTTCCGACCAACCAAGAGGTTTCGTCGATTTCTTTAACCGATTCGAGAACAAGATCACTCATGGTGGGCTGGAGTGACAATACGTTCGATGGGTGGTGCTCTAGACCCCATGCGAAAATATATTTTCGAAGTGGCTGGCAAGGGAGTAAATGCTTTGGCGATTTCCGTTTAGCATGTAATTACATAAGACATAAGACAATATAGTATACACTTTTGCGTATTAACGATGGTACGGTTTCTTGTAGCTCAGATTATCAAAACACATCTGACACGAGCCTACATCCTTATAGATCCTTAGACCCTACAAGCCATGTCCTTGGATTTTTGCCTGAAAAGTATCTGGAGTGCTGCCTGAGCTCCGTGCCGCGCCAAAGATGCCCTATGGGCTAGGCGGGTAGGGGTAGGTAGCGGTAATAGCTGCCCCGCGCGTTCGCCTCCGTCGGGCTTGTCCGATACCCATGCTAAATGCAATAGTGGCGACCACGACCTTGATGTTGCCTCTTTGCCATGCCTGCTGGTATCCGAACCTTCTCATGGGCTGCTATTGAGGCATGGTAATGACAGGAGAGAATCCTATATTCCTGCAATTTCGTCGCGATCAGTTCAGTCGAGTGACGAGATAGCGTATATATGATATTGGTCATTCAGTCGTCGCCAGGGAATGTTGCTGTTGCCAAGATTCACGTCGTCTCTGATTCTTTTCCGTAGAACTGATGCTTGATAGTAGGTGCCAACTGTGACCAGTAATGTTGGCTGCATTGCAAACGCGGTAAGGGCTTCTCCTGACCTGGGTACTAATACAACCTTACAAATGTTCGATTTGAGAGTACTGATCCTACGTCGATCCTGCTGCGTCCGGAATACTCGTGCCGCGAGTATCCCTAGAGACACCAAACGTTTTAGTGTCTTCGTCGTACGTTAGTCTCGTACTAGATTGCGCGATCCTATACCCGAGCCACAATAACCTCTCCTTCCGGACGGCCCTCATCAAGGCCATTTCGAAATACTTCTCGTCATCATCGATTTTATCGTTAGCAAACCAGGCCGAAGGGAAGTAGTCGTCGACGAAAAGAAGACCCCGAAGGGCAAAGTCCTCAGGCACGGGACATGGCGGGTCGTTGGTTTCCCTCAGGAACTCGTCGCTGCAAATGCGTTCATAAGTGTTGTAGTTATCAAGGAGTCCGTTGAGCATCACCAAAAGCAGTTTCCATGGAAACACATGCTCGAGATATTACGAAGAATTAGGAAAATGGACGAGGTTGGAGTAGTCACGAGAAAGGAAGGCGATAGTGAACGGGTATGACGATGCTGCTTGCTTGCTTGCTTGATAATTCGGATGCTGGCTCGATTGATCACTTGCGCGCTCGGACTGGGGATGTCGGCGGGGATCCCGAAAAAGAACAAGAAGTTCCAAGTTGTGCTAATAATACAAACCTTATAACTGCTGGGTTGGAAGCAGCGGATAACTATAAAGTGTTACAGCGCGCGTGGAATATATGCACATTATGGGCAATAAGATACGGTATGAAGTTTGCAGCAGAGAAAAGCGAGTTGCTGCATTTCTTACGGAATGGCACATATACGGCCTCTCTTAACCTCTCGGGAGCAACTATAAAGCTAGCAGAAAGCGTCCGGTTCTTTGGAGTCCACTTCACAGGCCGCCTACGCTGGGGGAAACACCTTGCAGCACTCCGGAAGAAACTTACAGTTCAACAGTACGCAGTTACTAGGCTAGGGACATCTGCCTAGGGCGCCAGTGTTGCCAAAGCGCGGCAGCTATATATAGCGATTGTTCGGAGTACCTTTGCATATGGGGCAGCAACATGGCATACGCCATCCAGGGGCAATACCCCCCAGGGGCTCGCTGCAAAGCTTACAATGGTTTAGAACACATGCCTTCGAAAGGTTGCTGGAGCTTATAAAGCTACAAAGATTAGATATCTTGAAACAGAGCTTGGTATCCCTCCCCTGGATTTGCACCTTAGCGAAAGAGCTGCTGCTTTTCAAGGACGCCTTGCGCTTGGCCCCTACCCAAATGCGGTTAAGGAGTGCAGTGACAAGATGGCAAACTTGGTATATAAGGCGCAGAGATACCGCAGAGCTACCCAGCAAAGGGGCCGCCGATTTCTAAAGGTTGAGAAGCCCCAAGTGTTTGAGGATCCCTTCGAGGCCTGGGCCGATGGGAGGGCACCGGAGACTGCCCTTCGAGATGAGTGGGCTTCACGGTGGCTACGAACCCACACTGCCAAGGCGTTATATCCGATAGCAGAGGTACCCCCAGTAGGCGGAGAGGCAATTGAACGATATAGGGGCCTCCTGAAGCATGAGGCGGCAGTCATCTTCCAGACGCGCACTGAAAAGATCGGCCTAAAGGCTTTCCTACACCGCCGCCAGGTTCCTGGTTATCCCACCCCGATGTGTGCATGTGCTACAGGCAAAGAGATTGCTGAACATATTGTTCTGCATTACCGGTCTTTGGTAGATGAGAGGCATAAACTGCAAAGAAGCTTAGCACCTAGGTTGCTAGAAACTCGGGATGACCTCGCTGCAGCAACCGATGACCTAAGGAGCGCGCAATTAATAGCACAGTGGCTTATTGCTATAGGCCGGCTGACAATGTATAACTTGGCAGCAAGTATCGGTGGCGATAGGGAGCGGCTACGCCGCCCAAAGCGCGACAAGGATGATCGCGGCCACTTAATCGAAGCAGCGCGAGGAAAGATGGAAGCACTGGAAGAGCGTCTCAGCCGCCAGGGGGTTGGGTAGCGCGAGCCGGCGGGAGGTCCGCCGGCGACTCACTAAGGACCCGGCCTCTCGCCAACCACTTCCCTTTGCTTATCGTGATAAGTGAAGGCTTCAAGTATGTATTGTAGTGCCGTTTATGGTTGTCAGTTTTAGTGTTGCGCAGGTGTTTTATCCGGCCTTAGGACTGCAAGGCTTTGCTAGAAGCTTTGCAATGGCTTAAGGCAGTTTGAGTAGTCACGACCAGTGTGAGGAATGATGAACCACATTGTAGATAGTTATACCCTTCCCCACTTATATAATACGGAGGAAAGATAGTTTAATATAACAATTGCTATTTTAATACCTTGCTATTTTTGGTACCCCCATCCCGGAACTAATTATTAATCAGAGCTTACGTTATAAGTCTTCCATCGAAACATTATTAAATCTAAGATTTATAAATCTGTTTAAATTAATTAATACTACTTTTACTATATACTTTTTAGCTATTATTAGGTTATTGTATTTTCTTTTTAACCGTTGTTAGGTTATTATATATTTTTTCCGGCTACTATTAGGTTATTATATCTTTTTTTTTCTTTTTAAGCTACTATTAAGTTATTAAATGTCTTTTTAACTATTATTAGGCCGTTATTTTCTATTTAACTATTATTAGGTTATTATATATCTTTTATAGTTATTATTAATTAATTGCTATACTTTTATTTATTTAGCTTTATATAAATATTATTAGTTTATTATATATTTATTTATTTAACTTTACTATTATATACTTTAATTAATTTATATTTTTAAATAAAATAAGCTTATTATTATAAAATTGGAGTTTATATATAATATAATACTTTAATATCCTTAACCTCTTTAAATATTTTAACTTTATTAAATGCTTACTTTTTTAAATTTAAGGACCTTTTACTTTTTGCTTTAAATAATAACTATTTAAATTTAATGGTATACCTTACCTTTTAATTGTAATACTTTACTTTAATATATTACCTTATAATATTAAATAGGTTATATTAAATAGGTACTTTATAATAAGCTAAATAAAAAGGTGCTTTCCACTTTTTAAAAACTTTATCCTTTATTATTTGGATTAATTTATTTATTTATCCTTTTTTAAAATTGAAGCTATTATTTATTACCTTTAAAAGGATCCCTAACCCCCTTTAACTTTAGGATTAACCTTCAGGCTCCTTGTTAACCTACTATTACCTTTAGGATTAACCTTTAAGCTCCTTATTAACCTATCCTTACCCTTTAAATTATCCTTTAAGCTCCTTATTAATTTACCCTTAACTTTAAAACTATTCCTAAAAGTTTTTATTAATTAATAATCTTACTTATAAATATATTTTATTAAATACTTTATCCACTTTAACTTTAAATAGTAAACCTTATTTACCTTTACCTTTTATTATAAATAAAGCTTAAGTTTTAAATATAAACTATATTAATTACTTTAATAATAATAAATTAATAAATTAATAGTTTATATATATATAATAATAGTTTTATTATATAAAATATAATAAAAGAAGCCTTCCTTTTAAAAAGATTATTATATTTATTAATATATTATATATAAGGCTTATTATTACCTTTTTAAACTTAGATTAGAATTTTTAAAATATTATTTAAAAGGTTATTAATAATAAAAGATTGGAAATAAAAAATTTAACTATTATTAAATAAGCTTTTAAAAACTGTTTCCTTATTAAGCTAATAAATACTTTTATTATTATTAATGCTAATAATTTAACCTAGATTGTTTAATGTTTAAAGGAACTTATAGCTTAATATTATAGCTAAATTTAAAACTCCTTTTAATAGGTTAATAAAAGGGATATTTTTAAAAAGGTAAATAGAATTAACCTATTATCCTTAATAAAGATTATACTTTTATAAACTATAATAAATTAATTTATTAATAAATTTATTAACTTTTAACTTTAATAGGAGGCTTTAAGTAATAAAGCTTATAATGTTAATTTATTATAATAATATTATAAAGCTATCCTTAAGTTTTAACGTATATTAAAAAATAAGGAAAAAGCTATTAAAGAAAAGATATAATAGGTAAAGGTAAAAGCTATCCATAAAGCTTTTAAAAACTATAAAGGTTTTTTTATTAAAAAGGTAGTTATTTAATATTATCTATATATTATAATAAATATAGTTAAAAAGGCTTCTTTAAATATAATATAATATAACCTACCTTTACTTTAAATAATTATTTATATTTACCCTTTTATTTTAATATAATAAAGCTTTTAAAGATTATAAATAATTTACTTTTTATATTATTTATTTAAATATTATATAAATGCTTATTTTATTTATTAAAAGTAATATAAGCCTTTTTAAATATAGTTAATAAGTTTATCCGGGAAGTATTTTAATTTAGCCTTACTTTTAAATAAGGCTACCTTTAAATACTCCTTAATAAATGGAATAAAAATCCTAACCTAAAAAGAAAAGGTATATTTTTATTATAAAAGCTACCAATACCTTTAAACTAAATATAATACCCCTTACTTTAAATAGCTTATTTAATAGGAATAAGCTTACTTTAAAGCTATAATATTTTCTATATTTAAATATAAAAATAAAGGACTTTCCTTTAATAAGCTTTAATTAAGGTCCGTTTAATTATTTTATAAATAGTTCTTTAAGGATAATAAAAATAATATAGGGAAAGAAGTAGTGGACTTTATTTCCTTTAATTTAATAACCTTAAAGGAAATAATAATATTAAACCTTAATTAATGGAATAAAGAGGTAGAAGCTTAAGTTATAATGCTTAAATCCCTTTTAACTATTATAGTTAAAAAGCTTTTAAGCAAAAAGCGGAAAAATAGAAATATTACTGTTCCTATTAGCTTATTGGTGAATAATGTTGAAGACCCCTTAGCCTAACGAAAGAAGCCCTAAAAATCTAAAGATCCGGATTTCCCCCCTAAGCTCTTAGCTAAAATTAAAGGCCGGAAGGGTAAGGGTACATTTAACTACGGAAAGCTCCTGGGAGATATTAAGGTAGAGGTATCACTTTTGGACCTATTCCAATTAAGCCCCGATTTTAGCTATAACCTATAATATCTTTTAATTAAAGCTTCCAATAAAATAAAGCATACAGTTTAACAATATATTAAAATAAAGAAGTTTATAATCTTTACTTTTAATTTAACTATTATTATTTAATTTATTAAAGTATATTAAATTACCCCTATAATAAAATACTTTAAAAATAGGAAAATAATAAAGTATACTTTATTATTTAATATAATATAAATATTATTTACCCTACTTTTATAAAAGAATTAAAATTTAATTATATAAAAATATATAACTTTAAATATAAATAATTATATATAATTAGTTTTATAGGTTAAGCTAACCTTATTAAGGAATTTATTATTATTATAATTATAATGGGAAGTATTACCTATATTATTTAAGCTATTATATAGTTAAATAATAGGAAAAATATAATGCTCCTTATTTTAAACCTCTTATAGTTATAAAATATTATAATAACCTTTAATATCTATAAAAGTATTTTTATAATTAAAAACCCTAAAGTTAATAAAAAGCTAATATACCTTTAAAGCTTTATATTATTCTTTAAAGGAAAATATTAGCTTACCTTAATACTTTACTTATTAAAGATAAATATTATATAAAATGAATTTTTAGATTTAAATTTATTAGAGTTCTTAAATTTAATAAATTTAAAAATAAATTTAAATTCAAGAAATTAAAGTTCTATAATTAATTTAACTATATTATTAAATTAAACTATAAGAATATTTATTATTAATTTATCTTTTCTATTTAAAAATAAATAAAAGTTTATATTTTTTAATTATTAATAATATTATTTTATAAATATATATATTAAATCCTTTAAAGCTTATTAATTATATTATTTTTAAAGGATATAAGACTAAAGTATCTGGTTATTAAATAAA